CCGAAATGAAATGGGCAAACGCTTCAGGTTAGCAACATATGCTGCAGGAACAGCTCTTGCTCATCCAATCAAAGGTACTTCCGATTAGCTAAAACTAAGTTGAATTAATCTAAAACTTCGTCACCCACTGGTTAAAAGCGGGTATTTATACCCAGATTAGCCAAAATATGTGAAAAGCACAATAATAACGTTAGTAGCATTAATACTACCTGTAAGTTACTGTATTAACGTTATTGTCCTTTTACCCCAAATTTGGACTTTTGTGCTGATTCTTTGCCAAATCCATCGATCGACTCTTTGTACTAACTTTTGTATGTAAAAATCGTCCAGTGTCACACTAATTTCATTCACACACTAATTCGGTGTTGACGTACTCGTATATCGGCAACCACGCCAAGCACAATACAATAAAGCATCCATTGCCCTCCGGCCCCGCGTAGACGATCCAAGATCCACCTTGTCAAGCAAACGTGAGGTTGGAATGACTTATTTCTACGCCTCACAACTGTGTTGGTGATAGTACGTATCAATAGTAGGAATAACTCAAACGACTAACGTTAACAGTAGTACTGGAAGTTTTGGAGGTACGCCCCATTGTGTCACTAACTGTAGTAACTGCCTTGAGACCGTTTCGCCAATGTAACAGCAAACGGCAATGCCAAAAACAGGCTCTAAATATTACTGTCGTCAGCACCACCGCCTACATCCCTACAAAATGTTGGCCACGAGCAGCGTCGGGGCCACTACGGCTGTGTGTTCCTTGTCTGACCAGGTGAAAAAGTATAAGGCGCGCATGGTGGTAGACGAGAAGGACTCGGACAACCCGTCCAAGCCCCACGTGATCAGGCGCGACATCGATTCACTCGTCATCATGTGCATCAAAGTCGTGACGGACCGCTTCAGCACCAAAGCCAACCCCATGGCGGGCATCCCCACGCGGTTTCTTCCAGAAGTCACGCAGCGTTTGCCGTTGGACCTGCACATTGTGGCCACAGCGCCCCACATCCACGACGAGAACTTTTGGAAACGTTGTTGTTTGCATCGGGCGGGATGGTCGAATTTGCAGATTGCCCAGCACGGGCTCACGTGGAAGCAGTTGTACTTAGGTTGAAACAGATTTGTGACAAAGGATGGCTGATGTAACGTTATGTGATGTCTGTAGAGCGCAACCTGCAAGAAGAGCTGGAAGGGTTCGACCCGTCCAACTCGGGCGACCAACGCACGTACGCGGACTTACTGAACAAGATCCACGCGAGCGCGCCGCACATTTTCTCGCTTGAGATCGACCAGCTGCTGTCCCATCTGGACGTGTACGAAGTCACGTCGTGCCTGCCCAACCTGACCAAACTCAAGCTCTCGTACGGGGTCAAGAACATCGGCATGAAGTACGAACGCATGCTGTTTGGCATGAAGATCAGCGACGCCACGTCCTTGTCCCACGCGATCAAGGCGACGACGACGCTGTCGACGCTTCAGCTGCCGAGCAACCTCCTCGACGACGACCTGCTTCGCATGCTCATGACTGGGCTCATCAAGAACACCACCATCACCACGCTCGACTTGTCGCACAACAAGATCACCAACCACGGCGCCCGGCTCTTGGCCAAGCTGCTCGTGCCCACGTCGGTACGAACGTCGGTGATTCTTCTTCTTTCATGGCGCTACCGGTAGGTTATTTCAACGCTCAACTTGTGCGACAACCAAATCCACGCAGAGGGCGGGAGGTACTTGGCTCGAGGCCTCAAGTGCAATGTCAGTTTGATGGAACTGAACCTGCGACTGAACCGGCTCACGGACGAAGGGGGCAAGTTGCTGGTGGAAGGCCTCGTGGGCCATCGATGCCTGAGCATTCTCAACTTGAGCAACAATGCGCTGGGCTCGGAAACGGCGGAAGGACTCGGTGGGCTATTCTTGGACCCTGAAAGTGCCCTATCAGTCGTGGACTTGAGTGGCAACCAACTCACGGAATCGGACGCAATCGCGCTGTTCGAAGGGCTGGAAAAGAACACTCGTGTCGTGACGTTGGATTTGCGACTAAACCACGTTCCCAAGGACGCGGCCGCCGTTGTCCAGATTGCCCAGATCGTGCGCCGCAATGAAATCCAAGGGCGTAAAGGTTGAGATAGACAGACACTACTTCAAATTTGTTAAAAATACGTCGTGTACGACAGCTACGACAACGATGCGCTGGTGTTGCTCGACACGTCCTTGGGGCAGTGGTTGTGCACAAGATACATAGACGTGACGTGGTATTTCTTGAGCGTGGGGCACTTTGCCAATTGGACAAACCATGGACACGCAGTCCACTGTGCAATCGCGCATTGAAATGTCGCGATTTTCACGGGGCCCGCCTCAAGTGTCGGCGATCGTGCGCGCACGGTCTTGAAGCCTCGGTTCCGATTCCAGTGGTAGAACGTGAGTTCGGCATCGAATATCGATGGGAACGGCCCCGCCGGAAACGTTTCTTGGATGGGGAAGACAGCCAACGCCTTGTGCAGACATGACGTGTGACTGTCGGGGAGCTTGAGTTTTATATCTTTCTCTGAAGTCCCATCGACGTCGTCGTCGTCATCAGACAGGTCGTCTCGGCGGCCACATTCACTAAAAGCAACCATTTGAATGCCTTGGTCGAGGGACCACTGCGCCGTCAGAAACTCGGCAAATGGATCGCAAACCCAAAGGTCGCGGGGTGTCGTTGCGTATGCTTGGGCTGGCGGTCGGGCAAAAGGACGGGTCCACACGTTATGGCTATGCTTGGTGTTGGCTGCAGGGGGCTGAATGTACCAATTCAAACCGGCCTTGGTGATCTCTATGGTCCACGGGCAAGGGCACGATATGGCGCTGAAGTGCAACTGAGGATTCGAAGCTGAGGCTTGAAAGGCGCATTGGAATCGAGTTCTCCAATGGATGTCTTTGTAGACGTCGCGGCTCTCCTCGATGAGGCCCAGCCCGTGGGCTTTCACCACCGACGCCAGCACTTCCACGCAATGGTGGTACGTTGCAAACATGAACGCGTACAGGATCGAGTGAGTCTCAAACGAAAGGGCAGATGCACCAACAGCATGCTCCATTGCGTTGGTGCTTCGGTGTACTCCAACGGCATATTTGGTAGTTGTAGGGGCTGCCGAACAGTGAGTGGCTCTTCTCGGTTCTCTTGGTTCAAAGCAATCGAAGATACGGTTCGACGTACTGCATGGTGGTGTTGGGAATCCAGTTTGAATGTCGTTGACGATCGCGGCTTGAGTTTCCGTTTCGTACAAGCAGCTTGAACTACCGGTAAACATATCATTGCTCACGTCGTCATCGAGCGCAGACACAAGTTCGTCGTTCTGGTTGACATTGCCGTTGTCGTCCAATGTGCCTATGACATATGCCTCCCAGTTCATCTCCCAACGGTCCATCGTCTCATCTTGATCTGTTCCTTCCATGTATTTGCAGTGTTCTTGGTGCGTCGCTGCGTTTGGACTTTCTCCTTCGATCCTCGGCGGCAGCAGGTAATGTCACGGTTTCGAAATGACAACATTTTCAAATTATTATCATCCTTTCAGAATGAATAAAACGGTTACATTCTAATAAGGGCACTGTGAGTTTGGATTTTGCGGCAATAATATTTCCAATCTTGAAGGGACCACCATCTAGCTGACTGTTGATTGCCATCCGTTGAACTTGCATATATTAAAGTGATTCATACTACGGTCATCACATCGCCGTCGACGGAGGAGGAATTTCGTCCACGTGGGGGCTCATGGGAGGTTCCAGTTGAACATCTTGCGCGATGGGTTCCTTGGGCACGGCTCGACTGCGCGGGTTCCTTCCATTGACACCGCCGACTCCCCTTGGCGGTGCCTAGCCCCATCCACATTCCATATTGGTTCAAACGTGACAAGAAGGATGGGGGGGTACGTGTGCTTGTAATTCCTTTCGCTTGACTTTGACGTTGTGTGAAAAGTTTGCGCTTGCAAACGCAGACGACGAGTGCGAATACGCCCCCGGACCCGGCGCCATATCGCCCGTCTTCATGAGCATGATTTCTCGCCCAGAGTTCTTTCGAATGTTGCCCGATAGCCAGCAACTTCGACTGCTCAGGTTTGTGTCTGGCGCTGACAAGGACGATGGCATCAGGCAATACATACATGTACTTCAAACCCACCTCGAATCTCGTCGTGTTTGGACGGTGAGGTCAACTTGGTGGCTGGGGCGAGTCGCCCTCCCGGCCGCGGGGGCTTATAAGGTGTATAAATTGGACCGGGGGAGAATTCGCCTTGACAACGTGTTGGTGATGATACCCATCCAAGAATCGTAGAAACTAGATATTTACCCATGTTTTCACGAGCGTGTCGCGCGGAAATGTACTGTACTCGCTGCATGCCCACGGTACTCTGGTCTTTTCGGGGAATTTCACGGAGTCCAAAGCGCGGCGCGGTGCCGAATTTGGACGTGGACGTTGGTCGCATGCCAGATTCCTGGGATACAAAGACATGACAACGGGGCAACGGGGACTGTCACTAGTGGGGGCGTACGCTGGACTGGTTTTCAGACGACAGCATCGACGGAACCAGGCCTGAGAGCTCGTCGCCTTGTGACACGTGCGCGGGGGGGCTAAGCAGCACCCCTTTTCGATTTATCACAGATAACCACGACTCTCGATGGCTAATAGAGCAGTTAGAATGAGTGCCACACAGTCGCTCTCGATAACAAGCCTTGCCTTTTCACGGGCGAGCCCGCTTTCAAGCACTGCACTTGGCCTTTTTGAAACGTATACTTGGGGGCTTGATTCTTGTATTGCCGCACTTCAATGTTGTACTTTGGGCCGGGGCTGTCGGTCGCGATGAGTTCGCGCTGGTGGTGCTTGTCTGTCATACACACTACGTACTCACAACGCCACGTCATGCCTTCAGTACAATGCATTGGTTTAAACCTACCTTTCTGCGATAGAAACCGCTCGGACTTTGGAAAACTGAGGCTCGGAAACCGAGACTTGATGATGGACACGTCCGTGTCGTAATGGCTTGGGGATAGGTTAACCCCTGAACCAGCAAAACAAACGTTGTATGTCACGTGAGATAGGGATCACTGTGGATGGTCACCTGAGTCGTGGATCGATATGCTTGGCGAGAATTGCCCTGAGCATAAACATGTGTGAACTTGGACAATCCTCAATGCCACATGTGTAGTATGTAGTAAGTAGTACCCTTGATCCAGCTGTCTCGATGGCCGTGGCTGACGGTCACATCTGGCTGGGGCTGCGCGTGGTCTTGTCGGAGGGCTATCGCGCCCTTCTTGGGCGAGTGCTCCAAGGACTCGACCGTGCTGTGATAGATGGGACCAGGGGACCGCGCTTGACCATAATCGGGTCAGCAGGGGACGATGGGGGTGAAGGGGGTAAAGGGGGGGTACAGTACCTGCATCTGCTATGAACCTGTCCGAGTTGCCAAAGATGGACATGCCGAAGAAGCTGCTGCTGCTACCACTCCGCGCTTGTGAAGGGCTGGGCACGTCAGCACTTGATGGTTAAAATAGCAAGGGTGTTGCGAGAGCCTGCCTATTTATAGTTTCGTATGACTCGGCCTTGTCATTTCCACGGTCCAATCACCACCACCACCAGTACTTCTGGATTTAACGTTACATTGTCATCGCCACCACCCCTACATACACTATAGTACTAATAGTACATACAGTAGATCTCCTTTGAAAACTACACGTATAATATACCGATTTGATTACAAGTCCCATTTCATTCTATCGACTACTACCTACGTGTTTCTTTGCAACGACTAGTTACTACCGAGTCATGTCCTGCAGCACCTTTCCAATTAGGTACCGCTCGTCTCGAATCGAGTCGTGCAATGCTGTAACCCACGTCGACACGTACGCCTTGGACGAGATCAGAGCCAGCCCCAGCACTTGCGTCGCAAATGCCGCCCGGAACACGTGCGTTTCGCTCAAGCTTGACCACCCCAGCATCCCGTGGGCCTTGCTGCACATCCACGGCAGCACAATACACACGGCCATGGCGCTTCCCAGCGGCACGATCACATACTCGTGAAAGTGGGTCGGGTCAAAGCATCGATGGCGGAGGTCCTGCGCATGTTCCACGCCTTCGTCGTTCGACTGCAAGTGGAATCGAAGCTGTTCGTACCCCAACCGCAACGAATTGACCACGGTCGGGTCACCCTGTCGCAGTTCGTCCACGATGTCGACGACGACGGGGGCATCTCCTGCACCCCCTCGAGGGTTTCGATTGTTCCGGCGTCTGCTCCTGGTGAAACCGCATACGCACCATGCAATCACGTGAAGCACCACAAACCCAAACGCGTGCATCTACACTTACCAGTGTAAATATCACACATATCATTCCAATATATATGGCATACCTCGACGAGTTTCGACCACGTTGGCGATTGGTGGTGCAGCAGCAGCGCCGCCATGAGCCCAATGAGCACTGGAAACACCACGCCCCACGTCACGCCCAATTTCACGAGGGCCGCCGCAGTGAGCTTTCGAATCGAGAATCCCTGAGCAATCAGCTGCGGGTGCACATCTTTTTCTTGAATCGTCATCACTTGGCACAATTTGAATCCGTTGATCAGCACCCACGACGCCACGACGCCGGCCGCCGCGTTCACCGAGTCGTGCCGCACCCCTGTGTACTGTTCCACCATCGCCATCGACAGCCGGCCCAAGTACAGCGGCGTCAACGTCGCGACACCGACGAAGCACACCGTTGTGGTCCAGCAGCACGCCATCAGCACCCCCAACCGAAGCGACAGGTGCGTCGGCATCGAGCGAGGCAGCAGGTTGTACTCGATCACGGTGGGGTCTACGAGTCCGTCTTCTGGCCACGGGACGTACCGCGCACCGTAGAGCCGCTCGTGGGGGGGCGGCGGGTCGTTTAGGGGGTTAAAGCTCAGCGGGGGCACGCCCAGGATGAGGCAGCTATCAGGCGGACCCCCTCCTCCAGGGAGCGCCGGTACGCGCGGGAGAAGGTACTCGACCAGCCCCAAGCGGTGACACAGCCTCGTCATCCACGTCGACTGGACGTGGCCCAGTCCGTGTTTGTACGTGTCGAGGACGTTGAGCACCGTCATGTACGCGACCGCAAGCTCCAATGGCACTTGCAAGGGCGCAAAGTAGTAGTGGAACGTCAAGTGCAGGGGAAACACCGACGGCACCACGGCGTACGCCACGCGCACGGGCAAATACACCATCGTGGCCAACAGCATCGCATAGATGGCCAGGGACAGCACCATCCGCCGCGCGTGCTTGGCACTCGGCTCGGCGAGCAAGCTCTTGAGAATATCCTGGTTGGGTTCCTGGGGCCGAATCGTGGCCGCGAGGATGTCGGGGTGCATCACTTCGCGCATCTGCAGCACCACAACGGTCACAAACAGCATGAAGCTGATGCCGAGCACCCAGTGCACCATCATCGACGTGAGCATGTGGTCCAGGAAGAACGACATGCGGTCCCACGGCGATGCCCGAAATAGCGGCAACGTCGCCGCGTCCATCCCAAGCCCGAGCAATATGGGCAGCACAATCGTCTTGAGCAGGAGGAGCGACCCCACCTTAACGACGGCGTTCAGGCAGCTGAGGAACCACAGCAGCCCCGCCAGAAGTGGCCGGTGCGGCGTGTACAGCGAGATCGTGCGCACCGTCGCCCGCCACACAACCACGGACGCGCAAAACGAAACGTACCCGACGCCGCACGTCACCACGTCGACAAACTGGAGGCAGTCGCCGTTCACTTGGGCCTCCCGGGTCGAGTTGGCTACGGTTGCAATGAACGCGGCCCATCCGTCGATGGGTCCGGCTGCGTGCAAATCCAAAGTTAGCATCGACAGGGGATCGCCCACGACATGGTGCACACACTTGGCCACGGTCGCGACGATGGTGCTGCCCAGCGTGTACGGGACGAACGCAAAGATCCCGAGGTAGGCGCCGTTAAACGCGAGGAACCACGACACATTGCGCAGCAAAATGTACGGCGGCCCGCGGAACCCAATCACTTCGTCCATGGCGATGTTGATCTCCATGTGGTCCATGTCGTCGTCCCAGTTGTCGTTGTTGTTGGCATTGTTGCCACGTGGCGGGGCGGCGTTGGCCGGCATGGGGCGACGGCGGCGGCGTCGGGGGCCATTTTCGGCTTCCGCCACCCGCGGGTCCGGCCGCACGTTGCGCGCGACCTGCGGACGGAACACGGCGGCATGCGGGATGTGCTGAATCACTTGGTCGAACAGAGGCAGGTTGTCTTGGACGCGCACGCGCAGGCGGCGGGGGAGGACGTCGCGCGGGGGTTGGTCCGGCTCCACAGGGGGAGCTGCCGGCTGGCGGCCGCGGAAGGCTTGGACGCGCCGCGCAAACTGGTGATCGAGGGCGTCCTCGTCATTGTCGTCATCCGAGTCGTCGTCCGAGTCGCTGTCGCCGTCGTTCTCGACCACCCACTCGTCGACGCCGTCGATGCGTTCGATAAGGCGGCGAACGTTGTTTTCCCCGCCCCCTCGCATGTGAGGCCCGGGGTGTGGGATCGCCCGTTCCACCGCCTCCATCTCCTGCGCCACCAGCAGTTCGCGGTGCCGCAGCTCGTCGTCCGCGGCGTCGATACCGTCGTCGACAATGTGGTCCATGTTGAACCGCAGAAAGTCGGCAAAGCTCATCAACGACAAGAACGAACACACGATCACGACGATCAACACGATGCCGGAGAACACATCTGCCAAGATCAAGTCGTTGTCCTGGAGACGGTCATGGAGGTTCACCGAGCCCATGGTCGCGGCACGCAGCAGCCATAGACGGTATAGCCAACTCGTGCACCACGGGGCAACCACACCCCACGCGACGATCACGAGCACACCGCGAACGACCAGCGGCAACCATTTTTTGAGCGCGACGATCACCACCGACAGCAACAGTTCTCGCGTCGGAAGTGTCCGCGGACACCCGTCGGCATACACGGGCTGGAACGAGAACTTGTACCCGCATAATTCACACACGTCCTTCTTTGAGATCGCGAGCCATTCCGTCAAGCAATCCGAGTGGACAAATCGAATCGATCCGCTGCACTTGCAAGGCGCAAACAATCGACGTCCAGGCTCCTACACGTGTCCATCATCAGTGTCATGTCCACGACAAGTATGCACAAGATTCTAGTAACGTCATGGGAACGTACTTCTTCGCCGCGGCAGACGCGGCATTCCTCTTCTTCGTACGAGTCTCCCATGCTGCAGCGGCGGCGGCAGCGGACTACTAACTACGGGACGAGGTCAAATAAAAAAAATGCATCGCACAATCAATATAGTTTACAGAAAGCCTGCTCCCGTTTGTTTCTCCGAAACAAGAGTATACTACGCAGTCAAAGTGTCAGCTTTGCAGTATATTATATTAAATCTTTCTAAACAGAGTTCGATACTCCGGATACGTTTATCCGTACATCTGAACATCGTTCTAGAAGCCTCTCTCCGCCTTAAAGTTGTCCCCTGGGTCCAAAGCACTGGACGGGAACCCCTCCACAGTGCCATGTCCTGCAGAGTTCTCCATGTTTGCTCATACTGGGAGTGCCGTTGTTGTCATCAAGTGTTGTCGCCGTCATCATCGATGGACTCCTGGCGCCACATGATGAAGTCGATTTTTGATAGTAGTACTAGTAGTAGTACTACCTGTCGTCGTGATTAGTACTACTAGTAGTAGTACTAATCGCGAATGTTTGATTGTGAACGTTTCGAACGTTTCGTAAGAAAGTTCGATCTACAGTACGCGCCTATCCCGCACAACGCCGCCGCATCCACGACCAAGCAGAACCATTCAGTCACAGGTGCGTCGTACACATGGCTTTGAAGATGGACGAGAAAGAAGACGTGTTCACACGGCTTTATGGACAAGACACATGCACCGCGGCGACACGGAAGCGCCAACCATCCGCGCCCAAACACAATCGGGCGATGCGGTCAGCAAAGTCGTGCCCAATGCTCGATGCGGCTGTGGCGGCAGTGCGACTTGATATATCGTGATTCCTGTGGATGCTCAGGACGTTGTTGTAGATGTCGCTCTCCGCCTTGCCGTGCCCCCAGGCAACGCTTGACGGCGACCCGAACGATCCCCATACCCTCCTTCGCGGTGTGTTTCAATTCTACTGCCGATATGGCCGCACGGGCGCGCACGGCACGTCTGAAACCACCCTAGGTAGTACTACATCCGTCATGTGTTCCTCATCCTCATTGATCAATCTACGTAGACAACGCCAACTTTGCCAAGTTCTGCAGGGAGTGCCCCGACCTCGTGGGAGGATCGCCGCGCTTTTCGACCGTCGACATCGACTTGATCTTTGTTAAAGTCAAAGCCAAAGGCGCCCGGCGGATATCGTACCCCATGTTCCTCGAAGCCCTCGGCATCATTGCGACAAAAAAGTACCCGGCCATGGTAACTACCTCGTGATATCCGTATTCTTTGTACCGTTCGTCCGAACGTAGGGACTGACGAGTGCACTGCCGACGCTGCTGGACGCGCACATTGCCAAGCTGAGCTGTCTCGACAGTGCGCGCTCTCCCGTACGTCCATGTTCGCGTCTCAATTGTTGATTACGCTCACGGTTGCAAGTAGGGCAAGTCCACGTGGCGCCGTCGAGTGGCGGGGACCGAAGCGAACGATGTCACGGCCATGATAGACATTAAACACGAGACGGCGGTCCACTCGGTCAGAACGTCGGACGTTTTGACTGCGGACCTTCCACAGCACCACCACCGCCGTGTGTTGAAGGATCAAGTCGACGGCGGCAACAACCAGCAGATCGACGGCGAGGTCATACCTCCTCCACCACCTCCCATCGTCGCCAAACACACTGCCGAGAGCCGCGTTGTTATTGCCACCAACTTGTAAACATCAGTGTCGTCCTAATGTAGCATGAATCTCCTCCCTTCATGGCCCGATTGCTGTCAAGCGAGTTCGACGGTCCTATTCGTTGGTGTGTTGATTGTCCACATGTACATACATGTATGTACTCCGGTATGTGGAGGACAGACGTATGTACCCGACTCGCTGGTGATTCGCCTTGTACGGGTTGTCGTTAAGTCAATCACAGATCACAGCAACGGTGTTGACCCAGGTGCGCAAACAGCGCCATGCTGCATCTTGTCAAGTACCAGTTGAACCAAGCAAAGTCGTTAAACCAGTATGCACTGGATGTGGAAGAACGTTTTTGTATCATGGCCACCATCTCGTCCATCGCTAGTTGGCCGCGATCTCATCCACGCCGTGAGATCTCGGACTACGTGTACCCATTCACGGCCCTCTCGCCAGAAACCTTTCTCAAGAGTTTGACCTTTTGGATGTTGTCGAAATCTTTTGACCACTTTCGTCCTTGGACCAATCACAAGCGTCCATCTCAATTCAGTCAATTTCCGTAGGAAGGGATCGCCGTGTATTAGGAACCACAACTTCAACGGGCCAAGACACGATGGTCGATGGCACGATGTTGGATGACCTCCTGCTCGGCGGCGATGGAATGGACCTAGTGGACCAGAGCCTCGGTGAGTTTGGGTGTCCTTGGAAAACCGCTAACGATTGAACCTGTAGACCCGTCGTGGCTCGACGCGCTGGTGCCGCCCGACGTTCCTGCAGACGCGCCGGACGTTGTGGAAAACGTCAACACGCTTGGCGCGCTCTTGGCGTACTCGTGTGAAGTGGAGTGCGTCGAAAACGTTCTGGCGCTGCTCAAGCAAGGGGCGAATCCAAACGTGGCATTTCACAACGGCAAGACAGCGTTGGAGTGGGCTTCATCTAAACAGAACGACGTGATCGTGGGCCATTTGCTTCGACACGGGGCTGCCACAGTAGGTACCTCAAGCCACGACCAGCGCCGATGGACAGCCCCGACCGTCCCCGCTCCGCCACCGGTCCCGTCACCGCCGCGTCCGGCAGCCTTCCCATCTGCTAGTTCGACCCCCCCGTCCACGGAAGCAAACGAGTCATGGAAGATCCCAGCTCGCAAGTTCATCAAACGGCCTGTAGCCACATCGGAGAAGCGGCTGGAAAGCCTGCGCGGGCTGTACAACTATGAGCGTCGGCCGACGGACCCTCGGGACAAATCGCGCCCGCGGTCCGACGCCGCCGCCGCCACGAAGTCACCCCACGCCTCCAGCTCTTTGTCCCAACCATCCGTTTCTCGACTACTACCCGCGTCAGTTCCGCCGCCGTCGACCAACCATCTTCGATCTACGTCTGTACATCGTTCCAAATCCAAATCCACCGCGCGGCCACCCGCGAGCCCCGATCCGGTACTCCATCCGCACTTGTACCGGTCGAAGTCTCGTCCCCGCTCTCCGTCCCCGCTGGGCACTCCATTTTCCCGCCGCCTGCGGTCTCACTCGCACGCGCGGCCGCATCCAACGTCCCCCGAGCGCACGATTCCGTACCATCCGTCCATGGACATGTGCGTGTTGTATGTTGGCAACCTCCACCACGACGTGTCGGACGCGGCCGTGCGTCGGCAGTTCAAACATTGCGGCGACGTCCGGTACTTTAAGCGGGGCTTTGCGCCGCCATGGGGGCACATTACGTTTGCCACGGCCCAAGAAGCGGTCAAGGCGCTGTCTCTGAACGGCCAACTGTTGATGGAACGGCCAATGGTCGTGCGACTAGGGGACCGCTGCAACCCCGAGCTGGCGGCGGATGTCAACAAGTTGTTGAAGAAGCAACGCCGCAAGGAAGAAGTCGACGATGACGATGATGCACGACGAAGACGGCGAAGAAGACGAAGTGATGATCATGATGATCGACGGGGGAGGTCCCCGGCGCGGCGGACATCGCGGCGGTCGCGGAGCCCCGAGCGGTGGGAACACGATTTGTTTGAGGACAAGCCGCGGGTTTCCAAGAGCAAGTCGGAAAGTATGCGACGAGGTTCGTCGTCCAGACGACACGACAGTCGCAGCCGGAGCCGTCCTCGAAAAAAGGCCGATCGATCGGACCGTCGTCGCAGCAGCCCCGCCAAGACATCGCATCGTCATCATCATCGAGACGATCGATCCAAGAGTCGGGGGCCAAGCGACAAGAGGACGTACAGCGACAGACACAAAAGTCAGTACGGCCCGTCGTCGCCGCGTACGAAGAAACCGCCCGAGCGACGCGATCGCTCGAAAACCCGACAAGATCACCGATCAAAGAGCCAGTATCGATCACCCCATAACGAACAACACGGCGGCCCCATGTTCCCCCCTTTGTCGACCACCCAAAGCCGACTTCGCCCGTCGACGCACCAACCCGCCGCCCGGTCCACCCGTGGGGCCTCCGTCCATCGACCCGACGTGTCGGCTTCGACCACCTCGCGTCCAGGGGCGCACCGTCATGCCAACAATAGACGGTCGCATGCCCTCCCAAGTCGATCCCCAAGGGATGTACCATCCCACCCTCGTCACCCGCCGCCACCCCCCAGCGACGTTGTCGACTTGTCCATGTCCAGTCCAGAAGACAACGACGAGAGATGCTACCTTCCTCCGAGAAACCGATCCACGCAATCGATCCTCCGTCGGCCATCCGTTCGAGAGGACCCGCGAGGACATCGGTCCAAGAGCAGCGTGAGCCAGCATCATGGCGGTGGCGGCAGCGGCGGTCACATGCAGCGGCACCGGTCCATGAGTCAGCACACCAGCCACCGAGCTCACCACCCAAGCAGCTCTTACGGCCCTCAACACAGCCGACCTAGCACTCCCCTCCGACCATCGCGAGCCGCGCCATCCCCATCTCGAGACGATCCGTTCCGTGCGTTCGAAGCCAACAAGCGCCCGCGCCCCCCTTCGGAGGACGACGATTCCTTTTCCATCCCCAAACGCCCCCGTTCGTCCTCCACAGCGCCGACTCGCTGTAGTCGATTCAACGTTCAAGTGACAAACGTGTCGAAGCGCGCCAGCACGGATGCCCTCCGCCGGATGTTTGGCATCTGCGGTCCCCTCTTGGCCTTCCACCGCGACGTGTCGCCCACCGGCGTGCCCCAGCCGCTGGTGCGCATCTCGTACGAGTTTCGAGAGGCGTTGCAAAAGGCACTCGAGCTCGACGGCCTCAAGCTGTATGGTCGCGCCATCCGGGTCCAGTTGTCGTAGTAGTACTAGTAGTACGCAGACTGTAGTAGTACTGTAGTTGGGTGACTGGCCCTAGTATACTTTTGATTCACATCACTCCTGGTAGTTTGTTTCTATGAGGATTATTATATCCAGCCCAGAGACATCAACAACAATGTACAGTGAGGATATAATATTATTGTCGTCGTCGTCGTTATGGACGGGTACATTGGGGGTCGGGGGAGTTGATCGGGCACGACTGGCATTGCTGAGACCCGGCAAGCAATGTCATTGAGCCCTGAGAATACAGTGTTGGGATCGACTCGAACGTTGTGATGGAAGTAGTACTTGACTGTACATACCGCGGGGCAAGGGGTGCAGACATTCGCGCCAGCACTGGCAACCGAGTTGTTTGCACACGACTGGCATCGAAACAAAGAGGCACCCTACACGGGGGATGGCATGGGTCAGTACTCATCGCCATCGACTAACACTACCGACGACGACGTCGATCCAGCCGCACAAGGAATGCAGTGATCCCGTCGAAAGTTGGACGTGAACCCAAGCGGGCATGCCGCACATGCACTTGCCCTAGGTACAGTGTCAGTTGAGTCAGTTCACCGACAGACTGTGCACGTGGTAAGGTAGCAAATAAGAAAGGCCACGACGAGTTTACTCACCCTGCAGCCGTGGCATACGTTCCTGGCAGACACAAACTGCATTGAGTCGACTTGGCCGGCGCATATGAACCCGACAAGCACGACGTCCTACAGCAATTGAGTACTTTGTCCACCCATTGAGTACTTGAATGAATTGTAGTCGGTACTTTTGGCCTTGGACGCATTTGAAGCCTGGTGGACAAGGCATACACGTCATAGCATCCACAGTGTAGGTACCCTTGGGGCAGGGCAGTGCGAGGCCCCCAGCACACGTCCATCCTACAGGCCAAAGTGCGTGACGACTGTAATCGGCAGAGGGTGATGAGGTAGAGTAGTTTGACCAGGGAGACACGGTTTACAAGCAGAAAACGCCCCAAACGAGTACGTTTGCTTGGTGCAAGTAGACATGACCCCCCCTCCACAGGAAAACCCACTTGGACACCGCCAGCACTCGCCATTTCGAACGTAATACCCTGGCCCACATCTACCTCAATCGTGTTCATGTAGTACTAACGTGGACAACAAAAGTCGGTACTGGCAGGCAAACGAGGGTTCGGGGTACACGCCGAGATTCGCCACTTGGAGGGTGGCGGAGGTATTGACCACCACCTGCAGGGACGTCGTGGTTTGGTTCAGCACGACGCGAGCGTACACGAATTGCCAGTCCGGCACACTACTAAGACAACCCAGTCATCACGGCCTACTAGTCAGGTTACTAGACACCAACCTGGGGTTGGTGGTCAGGGGGACGGCCGTGCGCACGGCAAAGGTCGCGCCTGCAACGACGAGCTCAATCGATGCCCTACTCCGTTCTCGGTTAGCTACCCCCTCGCCTCTGTAGACTCTGATGATTTTACGAACGTTGAGACGGATCCGTTGACGTAGCCCCGCACAATGAGCGGGGTGCGGGGTTGCAAATACACTGGGAAGGTTTGTGTAAAGGTCGCTTTGGAGGTTGTTTGGAAGGAAGTCGCTGGCCCTTGGGGCGTTAGAAGGGCCACGAGAGTGGGTGGAAGGGGAGGAGGAGGAGTTGAGAGGGATGCGAAAATCGTCCATTGGGATGCCAGGTCCGACGAGGTTTCATATGGAGCCACCCATCCAGTCGAGATGGGCCAAGATGGGGGGGGGATCGGGATAGGAAAACACGACGGGGCAAACGCAAAGATCGTGATGAGCACGACGCCGAGGCCGAGGACGTTGGCCACCACGGAGCTCTGGGGCGGGTCAGTGGGCGCCGTCTTTCGAAACGACAACGTCAGCACTTGCCCAGTGCCAGACGCAGCTTGCACCAGCGCATACGGGTTCGACGTGGCGTAGAATCCCATCTACGTCAATGTGGTACGGTTGTCAAGTCAGCGTATCGTGTGGGGCTTACAGGGGTGGCCGTTTGAAGCAATTGCCACGGCGTGGTCACGAACGTGCTACAAAGAGCGTGAGTGGGGGATGTGTGTTTACTTGAGCATGGAATTTCCAGGGGGGTCGTGGGGGTAGAGTGTTGGACCTGAGGGTGTATGACAGGGTCGCCCCAACGCCCATGCTGGCCACCAGTGCCGACAAGGACGGGGCCGCCCCCGTGGACGTGAGAAAAAACGGTATCACATTCGCTTGCATACACGCCTGGTTTGCTTTGGTTTAAACCAAGTACAGCCGTCGAAAGAAGGTGCAAACATGCTTACGAGTCGAATGGCGGTAGCATTCGTGGTTGCCATCGACACGGACGTGGCGGCCGTGACCACGACGACTTGCCGCAACGCACCCACAACCCACGGAAGGCTGGAGAGGTACGTTGCGTTTAGAAAGGCGCCGGTGAATGGCGATGGAGTTACGCTTGATATGGCTGTATTCACACAAGTACGTCCATTTATATAACACATATATATATATATTGCAAACGGAGGGAGACGACCTTTGAGCCGATTGTACAATCCAGTGGCGTCGTTTGTAAACGTTGCAGTTGCGTTCATGTTGTGCGCAAACCGCCAGTCTTTCGAGGCAAATTGCACCTGCATAAAAAAGTGAACCCATACATCATCACAGAATGGGCACTTTGCATGAAGAAGAATCGAGAAAATTATAACTAGAATATATATATATATATATATATATGTACCTCAAGAAACGCTAGCATGGCCGGCACGAGCGGCACCACAGTCAAGTCGACATTCAAGTCAAAGTAGAAAAACGAATTGATCGACGGGAGGGCTGCAGTTGGCAGCGACACGGCCGCCGTGGTTGCGGCAATATTGGACACCATCACCGTCACGTTGTAGCCCGTCGTTGTAGGCAAGACCTGCCGATAAGTGTAAAATATATACTCTTCATTTCATAAAAAATATATACATATAATTATAGTCTTGCCACTCCTGGTTAGTACCTGGAGAACGCTGGTCGAAGCAATGGTTGTCGGTTGTACGAGCAAAAGGACATTGGCGCCGTCTGTAGCCGACACATTGGACGTAGTTTGAAATGGAAACGGATCTGAGAGGACTAGGCGCAGCGACGCGCAACCTTGACCGACGACGACATGCAGCGGCAACGCGATGGTTTTAGTCACCTGCTGGTCGGTAAAGGTCGCGGTGGTCGTCCAACCAGCTGCCAACCCACCGCTGGCTGCCGTGGCGTTGCCTCCACCAACTGACACGACCACGCTCACAGTGCCCTGCAAAAACCACGGTGAAATAATGCGGACTTGACTGTTTATAGAGCTATGTATCAGTGTCACATACTCGACACCCGCCTTGGCGTGCCAACGTGACAGAGTTCGATGTCACGTTGTCATACAAGATGGTTTGGTTGGGAGTACTAAAGAACACGACGCCACTGGTGGTCGAAGCATTCAGCTGGAGCGTGGAGCCACACGCGATGCCGTAAGCGTTCGAAGTGCAGACGCAGCCTCCATAGACACATGTGCCAAGGTTGGAGCACACGAAGCCGTTGCGACCGACGGGGCACGGCGGGGAGCACGACAAGCACGAACTCCACTGGTTGGACGAGTAGCTGCCTCCTCCGCACACGTCGCACGCCGCCGCGCCTACCCCCCCCCCCAGTTTAGAGTTTCTTTTTCCGCTTCTATATACACACCTACCGTATACTGACGACACTTGCATGGGCGAGCACGCAGTGCATTGCGTCGCTTGTGCTTCGGTCTCGGACGATGTAAAGGACCCTGGGGAACAGAGCACACAGCCGGACGTGTTGGTGTTGCGGTGGGTGCCGGGGGGGCAGGTCACACAGGCGCCAGTGGCAGCGTCGAACTGTGAGCCCACCGGACACGGGACGCACGCGGCCGCTGACGTGGAGGCAGGGGGACTGGTTCCGTTGGTAAACGTGTTGGCGGGGCACGGAAAGCACGCAGATAGGCCTTTTCAAAGCAGAGATCAAGCATCTACGTAGCCCACAAGTCCAAACTATGGCGACTATTACCTGTTTGATTGCCAAATGTGCTGCGAGGACAAGCCGAGCATGCCGACTTTGTGGCTTTGGAGTACGTGCCAGCGGGGCAAAGTGTACACGACGAGCGACTGGCGCTGCCCACCGCCGTCGACACGGACCCATCCGGACACGACACGCAAGCACTCTGGCCCAACGTCTCAGCGTAGGTCCCCGCCGCACATGCGGCACAATCGGCGAGGGTTCCCCTATGTCCACGTTTGTTTGTCAAGGGTATGTATGCGCCAAGGATGGAAGTACATGACGCGACTGCTGGACGTTCCGACGGGGCACCCAGTGCATTGCAATGCGGATGCGTTGCTGTACATGCCAGTGGGACACGCCAAGCAGGCGCCCATGGCTGCAAACGGAGTGTATGAGCCAGGGGCGCAGTTGGCGCACGCGCTGGCCGCCGGTTGGCTGAACGTGCCGGCCGCGCATGACGAGCACACACTCGCATTTGCATCTACCAACCACACAACAACAATATCTTAATGTCGTTGAGAGTCGAGCGGGGGTGCGTGCACAAGTGGATGGGGTGTCGGCGTACTTGAGAAGGTGCCAGCGATACATGGCGTGCACTGTATAGACCCCACGACGTTCGAGAACGATCCTAGAGATACAAGAGGATGCATGTCAGCTAGAGAGAGAGATAGTCGTGCTGTCCACCAAAGCGGACACGTTTTCGATATAAGAACAAGACGCAATACAAGGACAAGGGGGCCCCACCGGAAGGGCAGCTTTGACACGTGGCAAACGATGTGGCGCGAGTGGACTGGGAGAACGTTCCAACTGGGCAACGCACGCAAGACGACACGTCGGGGGCTGCTGGCAAGGCGTTGTACGTTCCCATGGGGCAGTCCGAGCACTGCGCCGACCCCGCCGTCGAGTACGTGCCTAAGTAAGTCGTGAAATCGACTTCTTGGTAGTCGCGTACGTACCAGGCGGACACACGGAGCATTGTTCGGCCCCCAAAGCAGCGAAATACCCTGCGACACAGGGCTGACATGCGATCTAGTACACACCAAGTGAGTGCCGGTGGAGTTACATACGGGCTTGAAGTATGCAGGACGTACGTGGTCTGTGGCGTTGCAATACATGGCAATGGCGCCCGCGGCACACAGCCCCGAGGTGTAGCCACATTGGATGGCGGATGCATCTTTCAGGGCATACCTAAGGCCATCATCGTCGATAAGGAAATGCCAGAACACAGTGAAAATGGTAGTACCGGTCGAGGCCCCCAAGTATCACCAGTTGATGCTGCTGGGGGGTGTAGGTCAACGTGTGAAATCTGTGACAAGGTGAAATACAACGACTCGTTGTTTCCAGCTTGGTGTTACCGGCGAGGGGGAATCTCGGATGCGTCGACCAGGAGCGCAGACAGAGCCGTCCACCGCTTCAACACCAGGTTGAATTCCCACGCATCACTGAGGTAATCGCGGGGAAACCTAGAAATGGCGTTGATATGGCGTTATCGTCATATCAATATATATACCTGTACGAGCCCCCAAACACGACCAAGCGATTCGATAACGTGACGACGGATGTATGGCCAAAGCGAGGAAAGGGCAAAGTGGCCCCCAGAGGTGTCAACAGAGTCCACACATACGTCTGCTGCTCCACTGGGACGAGAGCATTGGATGGCGTCTACAGCAACACAGTGTTCACCGTGGACGGTTGTGAGTAGATCTTCTACCTGGGGGCAGAGGGCCCATAGGTCGTCCATGATGGTATTGTCTGACGACGATTGGCCGCCGTAGAGGATGGCGCAGCTCGAATAGGCCGAACTGCCCGGGGAATTCAACGTCATGGTGTGGAACGAGCGCGGGGCGGGGCCGTTGGTGCTGTTTGCTGTGACCACACGCTGCCACGTCACGATCGCCCGAGGGGTTTGACACGCGGTCGAGCCTGCTGGTTTGGTCATGATCTGAAAGTACAGGTCGTTCGTGTCCTAAATAAACCAAAGGGTCAACTCATGACCAGCTGAAGTGGACGGATTGCCTTATAGGTTGTGCCCAGCATCCCGCCAAAGACCATCGCGAACATGGCGGTACTGTTGGTGGCATAGGCCACTGCCGTGTGACCTTTGCGAGACGGGGGACTGAACGATGTCGCAGGTGTCACTTGGTCCCCTACCATGACCATCAAAAGTCAAGCGTGGACACCTCCAGCATATTGGTACATCGCCCAGAGCCGCCGCCAAAGTTCAAACACAATCTACACTCGTAGGTGAAGTTATGGAATAGTACATACTATTAGTACTACTAACGGCACTACCTCCACATGTCGTCCATGAAGTCTGTGTTTTGCCCTCCGTAGATGAAAACTGCGTCGTCCCAGACGACGGCAGAATGCTCCGCCCTTGTCCCCGGCTGCACGTTGGTTGGCTATGGATAGACAGATGTGAATGGTGAAAGAGAAGATGGACCAAGGATATGCCTACGATGGGTTTTGGCGCTGTATAACCGACGGATAACGACGGAATGATGACCGCGGCTGGAGCAGCGGCCGACGGGTTGTACAGCATGACGGTGTTCGTTGTCACGGGTTGTCCGGTGCTGATGGCGTACCCTCCAACGATGACGATCCACGGTGAAAGGAATGAGGCTGTGTGTGATACATGGGCAGTATTAGAGCTATGGCACAAGCAGTCAGGACGACGTGAGTGGAGGGTGAAGTCGCATGCACGTACGTCACTTGCGCTGATGTGCACGTCGGAACCGTGGCGAGCAATGGAAGGTACGACGCACACGGATCCGCAGCAGATGCATCTACATGCGCTATGATCATCATCTGCAGAAGATTGCGCGATGTGTCGTACATGCCGCTGCCAAGAGGGACACGCCAAGTCGACTCATCGAAGTGCCCTTTCGATCTTTTGTGAAAGTTGGGGTCTATTTTCTCCAATCTACTAGTATTAAAATACGAGAGAGTGATTTGATTGGCTAAAATTCAAAAAGCGAAATGCCGCGATCACGCTCGAGATCAAGTAGTCCGGAGCCGCGCCATCGTCGGCAGCGAAGTCGATCAAGAGACCGACCGCGTGGTTCTCGCTGCGAAGATGACGAACATCGTCATAAGCAGCGCGACGACGTAGCATCGACCAAGGAGGAGGAAGCTCTTCCACCTGCCGTCCTTGATGCCGACGCCTTCCAGGCCCAACGAGCGTCGCTACCAGTGGGCCAATTCAAGCAACACATTCTGGACACCATCGCCAGCAATCAGGTATCATCGCCGTCCATGTATACGGTGATACCTCATGGAAGTCACTCGTAAGTAGATTGTGGTGTGCATTGGGGAAACCGGGTCGGGGAAAACGACACAGATTCCGCAGTTCCTTCTCGAGGCTGGGTATGCCACGTCCAAGCGCATTGCGATCACTCAACCTCGACGCGTGGCGACTGTCGCCGTTGCAAAGCGCGTGGGGGAAGAATTGGAAGCGTCTGGCCTTTCTGTCCATGTACTTCAATTCCCCTCGTCCTGCCACCTCCATTGTTTGACACACGTTGGACTTTCTAGGCAGTCGGATACACCATTCGATTCGATGACCACACGAGCGCAAGCACAAAGATCAAGTTCATGACGGACGGCATTCTCGTCCGGGAATGTCTACAGGACCCGTTGCTGTCGTCGTACTCGATCATCATGCTCGACGAAGCCCACGAGCGAAGCATCCACACGGACATCCTCTTTGGACTGCTGCAGTCCATCTTGGCAAAGCGCAGCGACCTCAAGCTCCTCGTGACGTCGGCCACGCTGGACGCGGACAAGTTCTCGGCGTTTTTCCACAACTGCCCCGTGGTTCAGATCCCCGGCCGGTCGTTTCCCGTCGACATTTACCACTCCAAGCAGCATCAGATCATGGGCAAGTCCGGGCCGCTGTCCACGTACATTCAGTCGGCGGTGGACACGACCCTGCAGATTCACATGCACGAGCCCGACGGTACGTCCTGTCCATCCATCCACCCCTCTCATCTCTCGATTGGGAATCCATTCATGCTTCTACTGTAGGCCACATTTTGGTGTTTCTGACAGGTCAAAAGGAAATTGAAGACGCGTGTGCGCTGATTCGCAAACGATTGGAGCAACTAGCTGACGAACAACGCAATTCGCTGCCGCATATGCTGGTACTGCCCCTCTACGGCGCTCTCTCCAGCGACAAGCAGCGGCGTATTTTCAGTTCGTGTGGAGCCAGTCGCAAGGTGATTGTGTGCACTAACATTGCCGAGACGTCGCTGACCGTAGACGGCGTCAAGTACGTCGTCGACGCCGGCTTTACCAAGCAAAAGGTACCGACACACGAATCGATATGCCATAGCAGCATGAAAAGATATATTAATTATTTACCAAATATTTGGGTGTTACTTTGCCAAATCGATCGATTTACCCAATATTTGGACTTTTGTGCTGAATCGCCAAATCATGTCATTCCTTGTACTGACTTTTGTATGTAAAATGGTGTCCTGTGGTGATGGGTATCACACTAATTGAAGTTCCACACTAATTTGACGTTGATGGTGGTTTCCTGCAATCTGATTGGCTCAATCCTTCTGACGATGAGTCTTGTAGTACACTGTTATGTGGTTGTGTCACTCCAGTTTAGAATAAACAACCACAATATGTAAAAACGTGTCTCGTAATCCCATCCATTGACGCCACATGCACACACACTAATTGAATTTTGATCATATTGTCGATTTGATACAAATTGTGCTGTCAACGAAACCGATCCATAATCGATCTGATTGGTTGAATTTTATTGATAACTGGGTTTTGATTGGCTAATAATTTTGAGCTCATCTGAGGTAGCCAATCAAATCGATTTGAAGCCACATATAGATCTCCATAACCTCCAACACGTGTGTGTAGGTGTACAATCCGATGACGGGGATGGAGTCGTTAGTTGTTTTGCCCATCTCTCAGGTAATGTGATTCGATCATTGTCCAGTCATGTCGAGTTCGATACAACTGGTTTACATGATGTAATGATTGTCTCGTAGGTGTCGGCCCAACAACGAGCTGGTCGGGCAGGGCGCACGAGTGCTGGCAAGTGCTACCGCCTCTACTCCAAGAAATCGTACGCGACTATGTTCACAGAGACAATCCCGGAGATCCAACGTTCGAACCTGGCCAACACGATTTTGTACCTCAAAGTACTCGGCATCGACGACGTCGTCGGCTTTGGGTACTTGGACCCTCCCGACGAACATGCCATCTTGGATGCGCTCCACCAGCTGTATACGTTGGGTACGGCTCACTCGAGACACTACGACGACACACTTGGCATGTTTCGTACTGGGTTGCGTGATGACTTGTGACTTATTTGTAGGTGCGCTGGACGAACGAGGCAACGTCACTGGTACGGGAACGGACATGGCACAATTCCCACTGGAACCCCGCTTGGCCCGGTACAGTGTTACGAGTTCTTCATATATATATATGGTGAATTCGCTATAAACTTTCAAGATTCGCGTGGTTTATATTGAATTAATACTGAGTTGTGATTGGTTGAATATACTTGTCCTTTCTGTAAGAAGAGCCAATCATATCCACTCAAAATTGGATTCGCCAATAGCGTCGATGATTCGTGATTCGATTCGGTCTTGAAATTTGTACCGAATATACCACATTATATATATAGTTGTACTGGTGTCACGTCAAAGTGCATTGCTGAGTGGGGGGTTCATAGGGTGTTGTTGGAAGCGATGCGGTTGGATTGTGCGGACGACATCACTCGAGTGGTTGCGATGTTGACTGTGGAGAATGTGATCGTGCCGTTCCAAGGCAAACAACGAGATGGACCGACGCTGGAGCGCTTCCGACACGCCAAAGGCGACCACTTGACCTTGCTCCACCGTAAGCACGTCGTTCTAGTTACAATTTCGTCCGATTTAACCGTCGTTTTTCAGTGTTTCAAGAGTGGGAGGTGCAGTCGAATCGGCCGCGGTGGTGTGACGACCATGGGCTGCACATGCGCGCATTCCAAACGGCGTCCAACGTCCAGAAACAGCTCCAGGAGCTGGTCGACAAGGCCATTCAGATGTCGTCATCCACCAAGAAGCAACCAGTCGACCCAGCCGTGGCCGTAGAAGCCAAGACCATGGCACGCCTCGATCGCGTTCGCTTAGCTGGTACGATGACGAGATTGCATGCATGTTACATTGTATATATACTTCCAAATCATTTGTGTGGTTGGTTTAGTATTCGGGCTGTAAATGTACTACCCCTTGTTGTTACAGTTCCAATCATATCGGCTCAAAGTTGGATTAGCCCATACACTCGACTAGGAATGTGAGATATTGTGGATTCGGTACATATATATCCAAACCTCATATTGAATGAATCGACGGGGCGATTGGGCATCGCAATTGGTATTCTAAGTGCATGCATATATACATATATACAAGGTGAAGTGTCGTTTGGGAAATGTGAATAATTGGTCACTAATAGTGTGTGCGGGGTACTTTGAACATGGCGCGCAAAAGTGCATGATGCAACCCGTGTATCGAGTGCTCATGCCGCCAACCCACGACGGCCACCAAGGGGCGCAGCTTGTGCACTTGCATCCGTCGTCGGTCTTTCTCGACACGTCCCCGCCGCACACGTGTGTCTACCACGAATTGGTCCACACTAGTCGAGGTACTAGTATATATATACTAGTACTCGTGATGAACGAGTAACGAACGACGACGGTTAGCGTTCATGCGGCATGTGTTGGACGTGCAACTGTCGTGGCTCCAACTGTACCAGCCGGCCAAGCCACTGACGTTGATTGAATGCTATGCATTGACCAACCGACCTGTGCCTGCGCCCCCCACGCCCGCAGCCGCCCTCGATGCCAGCCACCACGCCGATGGACGAAGCAAACCGAACAAGACGATGACAGAAAAGACCAGCCTCGATGCAGTCGCCGCGGCCAAGGCGCGTTACCTGCAGCGCAAGAAGCTGCAGAAAGCATAAAATTCGCATAACTACAGTAGGGTGGGGGGTCATTCTAGGAAATTTCAACAACTTTGTCGTATGCCGCATCACATTCACCTGCCGCCACAACTGCCCTATAGGGGGGATGTAGTTGGTAGCTCAGTTGGTGTACTACTTGAGATGTCTATACTCGGTGTGCATGTGTGCTGGGGATGTGGACACACAATCGACACTATTTTTTTTCCATGGAGGATTCATAAATTCCGACGTCAACCAATAGTATTTTTTCATATTTTATATTTTAACCAATAGTATGCTCATAAAAAGTTTGTAAATTGTATGATTGGATATAATAAAATTAATCAGATTGATCTGATTGCAAAATTATAATTCGTACTCGGAATCACAACTTGCGCATTCGCATACAATTCCCCATATATTTCAAAATATCACTGTGCGCGAGTTCCTACTCGGTTTTCTGTACGTGTCAAGTGTTACAGTCATGCTGCTGCAGGGTTGGATGATCGGCCATAGACACATCTCACGAAACTGCGTCATAATAGCGTGATTATTATCGATTGTTTGGTAAATCCCACTTTTTGTCATTGGGTTGTTTTGCGGACATTTGGATCTGAGCGACTTTTACTTTAAGAACCGCCTGAGGAAGAAATGTGGACCAGAATAAACACACTATACAGTACTGTGTATATCCATCGTTCCACGGTACGTATACATACTTTCACTGTTCCACACTAGTATGATAAGTATATTCTATTACTCTGAACATTATTAATAGCGATGCAATTAATACTAACGTTAGTACTCAGTACAACGACTTTACTTCTGTATGATTGGCTAATCTGAAAAATACAATGATATCATTGGCTAAAGTGATTACAGAGGCAACATATTCCTGTCACATGCTGACACGCGCTTCGAGGTCACGGTAAAGTACCCCGAGAAACGAAGCGCGGTTGGTGAGGTTCATGTATAGAGTACCAGTGTGTCATTTGGTGCTACTTATAGTATGTACTGGCTGCACTGGGCCAGGTACGATTTCGAGGCCAAATGGCGCTGACGTGGCGGTCGAAACCTGGTCGACCAACACTCTACAATGTAGAGTGTTCGTATGTAGGGTCTTCATACCAACACACATCCAAGTTGCACTTTAGAAATTTCCAACCATGACGAAAACCCATCCCCGCATCCTCGCGCTCTTCGACGTTGACGACACCCTCACGGCCGCCCGCAAGGTAGCGTCCATCAGACAAGGACGATCATGTCGCTCATGCTCGCCACGTCCATGTGCATGCAGGTAGTGACCCCCGAAGTGACGGCTCGCATCGCGAAACTCAAAAATCAAATCACTGTCGGCGTTGTGGGCGGGTCCGACCTCGTCAAGCAAAAGGAGCAACTCGGCGAAGATGGTACCCCTCCACCACAACGATCGAACGTTGTCTCATACGGTGACCGATGGTAGTGATCCACACGTTCGACTACAGCTTTTCTGAAAACGGCCTCGTCGGGTACCACAACGGCGAGTGCATCAACAAGACGGTGCGTCTGTCCGTCCTTGACATATTAATATCATCATCATATGATTGATTATTCACGACATGATATGTAGAGCCTCAAGGAGTACGTGGGCAACGACAAGCTGAACAAGTTCATCAACTTTACGCTGCTGTACATTGCCAACTTGGACATCCCGATCAAGCGCGGGACGTTCATCGAGTTCCGCCAAGGGATGCTGAACGTGTCGCCCATCGGCCGCAACTGCTCGCAAGACGAGCGCGACGACTTTGAGCAGTACGACCACATCCACCAAGTGCGCGCCAAGATGGTCAACGTGCTGCGCGCCGAGTTCGCCGACTACGACTTTACCTACTCGATCGGGGGCCAAGTAAGCAGCCTGTCGTCCCATCTCGCTTCTCATGCCGCCGCCGTAGATCTCATTCGACGTGTTCCCCACGGGATGGGACAAGACGTACTGCCTCAAGTTCCTGAGCGCCGCCGACTTTGACGAAATCCACTTTTTCGGCGACAAGACCCACGTGGTAGTTACTCTGTCGCATATAACAGTGGAAGTCTCATCGAAATGAACTGGAACGCAGGGCGGCAACGACTACGAGATCTTTGTCCACGACCGAACGATTGGCCATGCCGTCAATTCGCCAGAGGACACGCTGCGCCTCTTGGACGAGTTGTTTCCCTAGCTTTTGACCCAAGTTACTAGTTGGAGCCTTCGATGACGCTGGCTTTGAAGCAGATGCATCGAGTGGATGTATCCTTTAACGTTAATGGAGTAGTAACATGACCTTTCATTGATCAGGCGAACTCGAGCATAGCTAGTTCAGTTTGAGCATAGCTAGTTCAGTTCAACGATATCCTCCGAGAAGTCGAAGTGTTGGAAGGGTTGATCATTCATGTGGTCGTGTGAGCCTGCACCGATACAAGTGTTTGGACATGTTCATCTTCGCAGGATTCAATTCTTTCACAGTAACGTTCCTCCAAAGTAGTGCTTCGTCCTGGTGGAACCATTGGGATCTTGACATCGTCCTACTTCTTGACGAAAATCTTACGTGTCATGAGCTTCCACGCCAACTGGCCTTTGTACTGGAACGGTCTGGCAAAGACACTGTGGCATGTTGGACAGTTCCCCATGTCCTTCACGAAAGACTTGAGTATCCTCGCAGGAAGGATCTTGACCAGGGATGATGTCCCACTTCCTCGCTTTCCATAATCGAGCAAGTGGTTGCTGCATGCGGCGCAGAACACCGCCCAGTTCCGATAGCACGACATTTCACGATGGTGGGCAGGTGATGCGTACTGTTGATTGGTTGAATAACAGCCAATGGCATCGTGTGAAATCACCGCAATACCAGTATTCGATTGGCTAAAATAAAGTTTGTAGTAGCCAATGGTAATGCACCCTGTCCGCCACCAATGAATGGCGGGGGAAGGGGTAGGGTTCCTTTTCATTGGTGTGTTTTGGCCTTAACGAATGGTTCCCACCGTCATTTTACGAGAAAAGCAGTAAAGATGACTGTCAAGCGACGCAACCACGGCCGTAACAAGAAGAACCGCGGCCACGTCAAGCGCGTGCACTGCGTGTCCACGGCCAAGTTGATCCCCAAGGACAAGGCCATCAAGCGCTTTGTTGTCCGGTATGTGTTGCATGTGATTCGAGCAGATATTTCGTACAGGGCAGGCGGCGGCCGTCATCGATGATGGGGGAACTCGCACCAAAGGGACCTACCACGAAAACATTGTGTTGGAAGCGATTGAGGCTGGGGAGCTTATTGTGTACTGTATCATGTTGTAGCAACATCGTCGATGCCTCGGCCATGCGTGACTTGAAGGAAGCCTCGGTGTACGAAACCTATGCTTTGCCCAAGATCTACATCAAGAACTACTACAGCATTGAAGCCGCGATCCATCAACGCATTGTGCGTGTGCGATCGGGCGAAGGCCGTCGCAACCGTGAACCCCCTGCCCGCATCCGCCCGAAGAAGTTGTAAGCAAGCGCCACCTGCTAGGTGCTTATTGCTGACCATCTCTCCCTGACGATGTGGTGTCTTGTGGCGTTGTCTCGCCGGTTTGGGACGACGGGCTGTGCTGCATGATCATCCTGTTAACACAAATCGAACGGCTTTTCTCAATACACAGATTCGAATTATTCACGACTTCCTTGCCTGAACGCCATTGCACGATCCCCAGATGAGAATAGGCAATCACATGTACGCTTGGATCTACAGACGTGATGTTGTTCGCGATAGCAGAATGATCATAGCAATGTTGCGTCGGCTTGCTCTATTAGGGACCCTGACAGAGCAAACCCCCTGACTCAGGATGTTTGTGGCACCTGGGACTGTACAGTACCAGTATGTCCCGGCCTGATTAGCTCATAGATCGGTACTAGGTAGTTCACTAGTACCTTGTAGTCCAGCATCCTAATCGATCGTTGTGGTGACGAGGTTGGCGCCGCTCGTTGCATGATCTTTGCTTGAGCATTGCTCAAAGAAATTCGAAGAAAAATCAATTAAAAAACCAGTGCTCAATCAGGATACAATTTTGTAGTACATTGTTTTCTACTTCATATTTTAAATTGAAAAAGTGTTCGAAATGGTTTCGACACCAGTCCCAACAATTGATCTGTCCACTCCAGCACCATGAGTAGCGTGGTAGCGTCGACCGAGCGCCTGAACACAGCGGACCTGCGCAAGAAGAAGGACCTGGACGAAGCACGGAAGAATGGCACGCTTCCTCCCGAGAAGGACGCGGATGGGAACCTCATCAACCCGCACAACCCAGACTACATTTCGAAGCGACCATGGTACTTGGGGGAGTCCGGGTCGTCGTTGACGCATCAAATCAACCCAAAGAAGAACCAAGTGTTGTCCATGGCTGATGCCGATTCCCTTAACATCCGTGCACTGAAGCAAACTCTGCATCGCAAGAAGTTCACCAAGGGCGCATGCACTAACTGTGGCGCGACGACACATAAGGCCGTGGAATGCGTCGAGCGGCCGCGCAAGGTGGGTGCGTGGAAGTCCAACAAGAACTTGGCCGCAGACGAAGTGATCGTGGATGTGCGGTCCGGGCGGTACGGGAAGCTCACGTTCGACGCGAAGCGGGATGCATGGCTCGGGTACAACGCGGACGAGCACCAAGCGACGGTCGATCGGTTTGAAAAGATGGAGCAGGTGCGTAAAACCAAGCGCATCCAGGAAATGAACAAGGACGGCACGACGGCGCACCACGACGGCGACTCGGGGGCGGATTCCGACTCGGATGGCGGCGGCGACGACGACGAGTTCTCGGACGAAGAGGAGTTTGTCGACAAGGACGGCGGCCGGGTCATCGCCAAGCGCGTGTCGCGGCAGGGCGGTGTCGGGGGCGCGCAGATGATGATCACAGCGCGGAACTTGCGTATCCGAGAGGACACGGCCAAGTACTTGCGCAACTTGAACCCGAACTCGGCCTTCTACGACCCCAAGACCCGCTCCATGCGCGACAACCCGAACCCAGACCTGAACGTGGACGAAGCGACGTTCCAGGGCGACAACTTTGTGCGGCACTCGGGGGACGCGGTCAAGCTGGCCAAGACGCAGCTGTTTGCGTGGGAGGCGGCCGAGAAGGGGGTGATCCAAGACGGCGAACTGCATCCGCAGGCCACGCCGTCCGCGGCCGAGTTTATGCGGCAGCAGTACGAAGCAAAGAAGATCAAGTTGCAGCATGACAAACGCACAGCGATGCTGGAAAAGTACGGAGAACAGACGCCGGCCCCGCCCAAGGAACTGCTCCTGGCGGCGTCGGAAGCGTACGTTGAATATGCGCGCGACGGGCGAGTGGTAAGGATTGATGTCGTCGTGTGCTGGTTGGGAATGCATGCATACAGTACTTAGTTGCCAAACATGTGCTGGTTGTGTTTGGGTGGGTTGGGAAATACATATATGTATATACTTATATATACTGAAGTATATATATATATATATATACATAGCCATTGTCATATCAACGTCGTTTTTCATTTTGGGATTTCCAGTGGTGCGTCTATAGTGTGTATATTTATTTTCATCAAAATATATTTCCTCGGGGTTGCTTATCATGAACTGTGACATCGCATATAAAACTAAGTTTCAGAGGCCTCCTTTACAATGTTTTTAGCCAATCATGTTTTGCAACCTGTATTCTTTTTAGCCAATCAAATTGATTTGCACGAGTTTTGTTGGCAATTTCATCCATCCTTGGCAAAGTGGATTGACAATTGAAATTTCTGAAAACTGTACATGTGTTGTGTAGGTGAAAGGGATGGAAAAGGGCGTGGCCAAGAGCAAGTACGTGGAAGACGTGCATGAGAACAACCACGTGCATGTGTGGGGCAGTTGGTACGACAAGCGCGCGCGGGCGTGGGGGTTTGCATGCTGCCGCTCCACCGTCCGGAAGAGCTACTGCACGGGCGAGGCGGGCAAGGCGGCGGCCGCCAGGGCCAGCGACGAAGCGCTAGAAGAGTCGGCGCCGGTGGTGGCCCGGGAAGCGTTGCCGCTGGCCGCGTCGGGGGATCAACCGGCGCTGGTGCTGTCGTCCCGCACCGAACTGTACGGCGATGCCAAGGACGCACCAACACTCGACCCTGTCAAGCTGAAAGAAGCGGAGAAGAAGCTCAAGAAGCAGCAGCAGAAAAAGGACGGAGGAAGCAAGCGCAAGTACGAGTCGATGCAGGACGACGGCGTGGACGCCGAGACGATGGAGGTGTACCGCCGTAACAAAACCAAGCGGGACGACCCCATGGCGCACTTCCTGCAAGGCGACGACCTCTTGCCGCACGAGTAGAAGAGGATTAATGTGAACATGCCAGCATAAAGATGGGGGGCTTTTAGTTAGCCGTTCAGTACAATATCGAATCTGGAATCGCTATTGGCTAAATCTGATTGGCTCTTCCAGAAAAGACACAAGAATATTTAGCCAATCACAAGTCCCAGCGTGATTCAATATTATGGAATCATGCGAATTTTAAAAGTTGAGTGAATTAATATTGTCCATTTTCGTCGAATTTCCCAATTTTGCATAGTTCGAGCACAAATAGAGCCGAGACATCTGATTGGCCATTATCCACGAAAATGGATTGTAGCCAATCAGCGACAAATAATTTCGGATTGACCAATGGGAGAGATTGGTGCTCGATTCACGGGGTCCGGAAATTCATACCGAATCTCGAATATTGTAAAATCACGAATTCTATCGGAATGCCAAGTTACTTGGACACCCCACTGGTATCAACACTTGGACATATATCGGAGCATATACAACTCCATTCACGTTATGGGAGGCATCGAGTACAGTAACCCACGGTGATATGTGGCTCCAACTAGTAACTTGGTCAAACGTTAGGGAAACAACGTGTCCAAGAGGTGCAGCGTGTCCTCTGGCGAATTGACGGCATGGCCAATCGTTCGGTCGTGGACAAAGATCTCGTAGTCGTTGCCGCCCTGCGTTCCAGTTCATTTCGATGAGACTTCCACTGTTATATGCGACAGAGTAACTACCACGTGGGTCTTGTCGCCGAAAAAGTGGATTTCGTCAAAG